AAAATGAAATTAACGAAACGATATCGACAGATATCAAAATAATATAGTAGCAATGATTATAAGAAAAACTAAGCATCGAAACCAGGTACGAAGAAACAGGATGTAAAGGTGTGTGTGAAGGAATACTAGAATAGCATTGTGACTGATTCTGAGCCATGTCAACCAAAGTTTCCAGGCACTAAAAGGTTCTAATACCATGGTTCAGACTAAAAGTTAGTAAATTCGTACAGTGATTTCATATTTTGGTTTGATCGTCCTAAACATTCTTTCAACTTACCCATATAACAGTCAGTATCGTCCATCGAAATAGGCGTTTAGTTGAATATACGTAACATAAATCTCAACAATCTCAGTCGTTGATTATTCATAACCTCATCAACTGATTTGTCATTTTCACATTGTACTTCATCCCTAATCAGAACATAATTCGCTCGGTCGTTTCAAGAAAACCGAGGAATGTCTCAAAAACATACCATAAAAATAAACTGCAGTTTTAATACATCTATTTTATTATAAATCGTGATTTCGATAAATTACAAATTGTTTATAGCCAACAAGAGCCTATGAAAGAACTAGTTCAATTTATTCATCCTATTTATAAGCATATAAAGTAAATTATACGATCAAAACCTAACTCAACAGTTTGACTATATAAAGTAAATGATTTCCTAAATAAACTATTCACTCAAAATTTTACTTACTTACTCCTGCTATCCCTCATGAAGGAAAATAGGCCGCTCACCAACATTCTCCATTAAAATCTGTATGGGCAATCCTATTCAGTTGCCTTTCATCCCATCCATGTCTGCTTCCGATTCTCGATGCAGTGTGTTCTTCGGCCTTCCTCTTTATAATCTCCCTTCAGGATTTCGAGTTACAGTTTGATGATTCTTTCAGTGTATATCCCATCAACTTACAACATCCTTTCCAAATTTCCTTATCAGCTGGAAGTTGATTTGTTCTCTCTCATAGTAAGCTATTGCTGATAGTATCCGGTTAACGGATATTAAATATCATGTGTAGACAACTGTTTATCAATAATTGTACCTTTTTGATGATAGTTTTGATAGTTCTTTCAGTTTCAGATCTGTACAATAGAACTAAGTGTCTTGACGTTAGTATTGAAAATTGTGTGTTTGATATTAGTTGACGGTTGTTTTGAGTTTCATATATTGTTCAACTGTAGGAATGCTCCTCTTGTTTCATCAATCCTAGCTTTTACCTCTATATCAGATTCTCCCTGCTTAAAATCTAGTGAAATAAATAACAACATTGACATAATTGTGATTAGGCACAAAAATAAACCAAACATTTTTGCAAAAAAAATTTAAACTTCATTATGTTTACCAGTGTCTGTTTGCAATTTCAAATGAACTTTAATGACATTTATGTCTCTAGGGTATCTTGAAGATTATCACTAACCATAGAACAAGTATATTCATTCAATTCATCGTACAAGTTACACACATTTGAACAGTACTTCAATTTCCTTTCAATAACAGTATTGTGCTTTCGAATATTTTAAAGAAATAAGAGACATCATAAATCATCATTATTATAACATCTACACATGGCATCAGTAAATATTAACCTAGAAAATCTATTTTATTATGTAATATCTCTTTTTATTACTCGTACTTTTAAACTATTCGAAATACCCAGTAAAACAATGACTGAAATTCATATTTTTTTCGGAAAAAAAAGCAATCAAAAATTGATTTCTGATTACTAATTAATTCCATATGGGGCAGAAACTTGGGAAACCATCAATGTTATCAGCCAGAAAATACAAGTGTTTATGAACAGCTGTCTATGCAAAATACATCGGATCCGTTAGCCAGACACTATTAACAACAGCCTATTGTGTGAGAGAACAAACCAACTGCTACCTGACGAGGAAATTAGGAAAAGATGTTGGAAGTGGATAGAACACACATTGAGGAAATTACTCAGCTACGTCACAAGGCAGGCACTCAATTGGAATCCTCAAGGACAAAGGAGGAGAAGAGGAAGACCAAAGAACATATTACGACGAGAAATGGAGGCAGACATGAGAAGAATGGAAAACAATTGAATAGAACTGGAAAGAAAGTCCCAGTACAGAGTGGTTTGGAGAATGCTGGTCAGCAGCCTATGCTTCATAGGGACTAACTGGCGTAATTAAGTAATTCAATAATTCAAATATCTCTATACTAATCAACTAATCATCCTGAACGTCTTCGAAATAAACACTAGGTTTCAAAGATTCTAGAGCTGTAGCTTACGTATCAAGTAAATTAAATTCAATCGAGAATGAACCGTATTCTCTACTAGATCTTTGGGTAATAGTCAACAAATATTGACCTAATTGGTATGATGAACCGAGTTACGTTAAATATCCAGTGATAACCAGGGAACATAGAATAGTGGTTTCGTTCTAGATTGAAGCTCCTCAAGAATTTACATCCACGACTCCACCACTAGAGATAGTACCTACGACACCCAGTTGTGAACAGGAGCTATTAATCTTTAGACCACTGAGTTGTAATCCAACAATGTACATGCCTAACTTGAATCAGTGTGTGAGGCAGTTACTTGCAGAGGACATAGCTCAAGTACAGTGGTTTACAGTTTAGGCGTTCTTGTTTACGACTGAGGGTGGTGAGTTCTATCCCTTGTGGTGGGGTTGAGAAGCCTCATACTGGAAAAAACAGCTATTTACCGTTTCGCAGTTTTCAATTGGTACCTAAAATAAGTTGGTTCAAGAGTTATTTATTGTGTTTTACTATTTAGAGTTAGAATGTCAGTTTGTACAATCCAATAAAAAAAGTCGTTGAATTTAGTTTATAGAGTATAATATTAAACGTACAAACTTCCAAGTAATTATGAACAAAAGATGATTCGGGTTATCATTAACTGTTAATTGTTTACAAATCACTAACTGTCCTTCATAATATTGTTCAGATTATAATGGTGTAAGAATAGGCACAGTATTACATCTTTACACTTTATTATACGAATATTTCGTATGATAAAAGTTTATGAAACGAGATATATAGGTGAAAAGAACAGAAAACATTTAATTCAAATTAAAGATTACTACTGAAGAAAATACTGTTAATAATAAGAACAACATTGAAACATGGTAAACAACTCTTCATACAATTGATCCCTTTACAATGACCTTAACCAGATCAAAATTGAAAACCAGGAAGAATTGGACATCCATTTTGTTCTGGTATATGGATCAGCAGCAGTACCAACTCCATGATCCCAATGTAGAGTAAATCAAAGACTTTTGGTCTGGCATGAGAACATCTGAACTCTAGACCTCTAAGCTGGCAGCAAATGGTATGCATGTCAAACGTGAATAAATTCAGTGTATTACATAATGATCTTCCATCGCTTGCAGTGGAAAACTGTCTTACATCTGACATGGTTGGTACTCATTCACAATTGACTTTAGCGAAAGCAATAGAGTAATAATAATATTTTTTTGGCCGTTAAAAATTAATGGTTCAAATATTAAGTTTTTTAAGTTTAACCCTATGCTATAAACATTTCGGTAAATTCCTAATCACTAAACTCAAATTGAATAGTGACATATTTTTCAGTGTTTCTCATTCAATTGATCGATGCTCTTTAATCATGTATTATGGATTTTTAGATAAATAAATCAAAAACTGATTTTTCAAAATATTGATATTTTGAATGTTTTAAAGTGAAAAACAAACCAGAAATATAAGCAAAGATGGATAGTGGCTAGCAGTGGAACCCAGGACGCACTTTTCGTCTTATTTGGGATTCTAGTAAACAACATCAAGTGAATCCATTCTAGGCTATATTTAATTATCAGTAGTGGACTGGTTGAGGTTAGACATTAACATCATTGGATACCGGTCCAGTGGTCCAGCAGGTTAAGCTTTCGCGCGAGAGGCTGGAGCCCCCGGGTTCGAATCCCGAGAGCGGGGTCGTGGATCCCACTGCCGAGGAGCCTCACAATAGGACGAAACGGCTGTCCAGTGCCCCAGGTTTTCAATGATGGTCTAACATCAATCGGTTCATGATCTCAATCAAAAAGAAAGTATATCTAATTATTTATTCAAGCAAATATTCTTTTGCTTACTAATACCTACATTCTGACAAAAAAATTTGATTTCTTGTACCAGTTACACATTTTTCCGTTTATTCTATGCATAAGTCAGTTTATTTACAATCGATTGACCACTGGATAGTAACCAATATCATGTCCTGCTTGGTGCAAATCGTATTCGGTCGATTAATTTAAAATGTGGTCACTGGTCTAAATGATTTGATATCGAGTACATTACATTAAAATGCAAGATAATAGTTAGAGATAATCGACAGGAAACCCTAAACTTAAGTTTCATGCTATTTGGCACATTTCATCAATGATGTACATTTGATCTTTAAGGAATTAATACTATCAGATGAATTTAATCTCATATCATTTAGCTTTACAATTAGAGTTCAAATATATAAATGATTTACACCCTATAAAACACAATTGATTGATCACTGGGTGGTGATCAATGTCATGCGTGTCAAGTCCTTGTTTAGTGCGGATCGAATGCTATTAATCGAGATCCAATGTGGTCACCAGTCTAGGCGACTCGACACTTGGCACTCGTCAACAAGGTGTACCTGTAATTTGAGGGAACGAGTGCCAAGTAGCACAAAACCCGGGTCCAGGGTTTCCTATCGACTACCTTCAACCACCATCTAACCCTATAAAACAGTTATATTAGAGAGATTTTCAGTAGTATATAAATTTATTTATATCATCCAAATAATAAACTCTTATGAAACAAACTAACAAAATTATCTTGCACAATTATTCCCTTTATTCATTTATAGATTGATTGTATGATTGTTATACTATTTGTCTATTCACTAATCGATTGTCTGCTTTTAACCAATCACTTCTATATTTTACATTTCAATGTAGCCTACGCAAATAAGTTAATTATTCTGTGCTATAATAATAAGAATATGATTATGATTATTATTAGTGACATTAACCAGAAGCTTTAGTCACAGGATCATTAAAGATTTATAAACAAGTTAAATTAATTTAGTAAGTTAATAACTGTTGTATTTAGTTGATAATTTAGTAATTATTCTTATGTTTGTTACCATGGAAATAAGTTTTTGTTTTGTTCGGCATAAATTTTAAATGTAATTATTATTAGGGATTTATTCTTTACAGAACACTAAGCTAATACGATTCATATAATAATAATAATAATAATAATAATAATAATAATTATTATTATTATTATTATTATTATTATAAAGATCAAATAACCTGGTCATATTTCATTTCAGTATTTCTAACTCAAGTTAAGGAAATCAGAAGACAATAATAATAATAATTCATAAATAGTACAGGCCTTACTTATCATAAAAGGTCTTATTATTGTTATTAGCGGCTTTATTCAATATAGAATATTCAGTACAAAGTTTCATTATCTTATTCCTTGATCGATCTTGACGATAAATATTGAATGATCCTCAGTTACTGTTAGCGATCCAGGAATCGACATAATGTACATTCTTGCCGATGTATATTGTCAATAAACACGATGTCTCTGACTATTGGGCTCTTTTGTAACTTGTACAGAAAAATGTCTTAAACTTTTCATAAACTTATCTGAATAGGTTATGTGACTAATAGATTATAATGATGTGTTAAAACAAACAAGAAAACCGATAACTTGTTAAAATATCCAGATGGTAGAAACAGGTAACCGAACTAATCAAACAAGCCACCTTGTGAAAGAATAATAAGTTGATTTCTTCCTCAGCTGGGATCTGATAGTTTATTGCTGATAGTATCTGGCTAACGGATCCGATGTATTTTTCATAGACAACTGTTAATAAATACTTGTATCTTCTGGATGATGGCTAACCAGAAAAAAAGTTATTCAAACATGGAACAATAGAACCTCATAACTTTTACTTAAATAAATTACTGTTTTGTCATATTTTATTAAATCACACAATTACAGGTTCATTAAAATTACCAATTATGAAACAGTCTTTTATAAATCACATCAAACTATAAGTAAATTCAATAACAAATATACTTTTCGTTATACCTCAATGAGTAGAAACAAGTTGTATTTCTGACGTTTCGTGACTTAATATAAACCACTTCTTCAGAGTAAATCTTTTTACCGAAAATTAATATTTGTCTCAATTATTCATGTTATATTACGTAAACATATAATAATTTACATTTTTTACAAATAACTCAATGATTACACTGTTTGCCGAACAGAAAGCAAAATAGTTGAATTCACGAATCAATTAAAGCTAGATCACCATGGAAAACCTAGAAGTACTAGACGGCACTTTTGTCCTAGTATGAGACTCTTCAGCATTGCGCACCCACGATCCTGATCACGGTATCCGAAAGCAGGACCTATCGGTCTCATGCGCAAATGCTTAATCTCTAGATCACTGATTCGGCATCCAACGATGTTAATGTCTAACTTCAACCAATCCAATTCTGATAATATCAAGTTCAATTGAAATTGTTTTTTTTTAAAATACCCATTAATTATATATTATACTGAAGAGAGATGAAATATGTATTTCATTTCGTTTGTAACAAATACAAAACTTTTAGTGTTTCGGTCGGAATGACAAAACCTTGGTTTCAAGATAGAATTAAATGTATAGTCGATAATATGAAAGAAAATGATTTCAATCTCTAAGGTTTATTTATGGACAACATAAATTAAACTAGAATCACGTAATTATAAGTGATATTTTCAATACAAATATTAAAGTTATTCAGTATTATGCAATGAGCATTACATGGATCATCTTTGTGTGAATGGCTTCGAGCTTTGTATATTAAACAATTCATATATTTGTATAATGATTTCTGCTTGTATAATCTGACTAGTTTTAAGTTAATTCTTGAATGGTAAAAGAAATAAGGCTGATAAATCATAAAATGACCTTAGTATACAATTTGGGATAAAAGTTGAAAAAAAAATTATCCCAAACACTCAGAAGACAAATAATGAGGTGGCGCTTTGATTCTGTTCTATAAAGGAAGTTGCACATTTTTTTAAATAAATAAGTTTAAATTAATTCGTGTGATCAGTAAAGTTGGATAATAATCGTCAGTGAAAGCTTCGGATAAGCATTTCATATTGTCTGGAACTGATAAAAATAACATTATACTCACTGCTAGCTGATATCTAACTTTAATAAAAATTTGTGATTCAAATGTCAATATCAAAAGAGAACTAGCTCATGATCTACATATACCAGTTGAGATTGATCATTTCTAGTGCTTTATATCTACAGAGAGTAAATACAAACTAATACAGATACAATTCCCCTTCATTTATTTAACTTTTATTATGTTTCCTGTGTCATTGCTTTTCATTTCATAGTTTAGGCTATCATTTGATGATCATTTTATCACATTAGAAGAATACAATCTAAAAGAGAAACAACCTTAACACTGGATAAACAAAAAAATGACCTTAATAATTCATGGTATTTTAGTTCATCAATACAATTTATTATTGTCACATAAAATATGATTCAATCAGACATTTTAGTATCCATGATGAAAATAATTCAGTTAGTATTTGTGTTATTTAAGTTGTTTGATGAATCCAAGATAAACACTTGGTTTTATTTCGAACTAATCAGCATGATATAATTGCATCCTAGTATTGATATTCATCATGAAAAACAAGAACTCAGTACCTTTCACTTCAGACGTCAACGTGTTGTAGTTTACAAATCTCTACAAATAAAATTCATATTCGTCGCACTGGTTAGTAGCTCTTTGGATTCCATATATCTCGGTGAAGTTTGAATTGAAAGGAACTGGTTTTGAATCACGGTATGAACATCACCAATTAGATACAGTAACATTCAAATAACTAATCCCATAGAAAATAAAATGAATCTTTGAAATCCAACTATGCACCTCTATTCATTTTTTTTACTAATAGTCTAGGATCAATTGGCAATAGTGAATCATTGAAGACTAATTAATTGTAGCTCATAGCATTAACAATGGGAAAATATTATTCCTTACTAATATACTTGTAGTATTTTTCTAAGCATATCTCCATGTTTGTTTATTTTTGCATACCTACTTACATATTTTCAGTAGTACAATATTTACTAAATTGTTATGTTAAATTGTATGACTCCATGATGACGAAAAAGACAATCACAAATGTTAACATGGATATATGTGTAAACATATATGTCACTGTATGTATTTTTGCCTGGTTTTTTCTTGGTCATTCTGTTCTATCTATTGGAAGTGCATTATTCTTTTCTTATTTTCTAAGATATCATTCATTTTCCCAATAACAACAACAACAACGAAAAACACCATATACATATTCGGATTGAACTTACAATGTTTACTCTTTCATTGATGAATCAGCATGGAAAAAGAATAACTTGAAATTGTCATTATATAGCTGTAGTGTTGTATATAGTTTTATTCGTTTCAATGTCCAGGGTGGAAAAAAAGTTATCCCATTCGTATATATATACAAGAGATAATAATTACATTTTCATTTTTACCTCTAACCACTTGTTTTCCTGGTGCTTTATCACCATTATTTCGTCCTAACATTTCATTCCCTTCTAGTTTTTCTTGATGTGAGCGTCGTTAAGTTATTTTTTTAAAAATAAAAATAATGCAAAGTCCACATAACATGGAACGATTACTTACTTACGCCTGTTACCCCCAATCAAGCATAGACCGCCGACCAGCATTCTCCAAACCATTCTGTACTGGGCCTTCCTTTCCAGTTCTATCCGATTGCTGTTCATTTTTCTCATGTCTGTCTCCAATTCTCAGCGTAATGTGTTCTTTGATCTACCTCTTCTCCTCCTTTGTCCTTGAGGATTCCAATTGAGTGCTTGCCTTGTGACATAGTTGAGTGCTTTCTTCAATGTGTGTGCTATCGACTTCCAGTACTTCATCCTGATTTCTTACTCCGCTGGGATCTGATAGGTTGTTACTGATAGTATCTGGCCAACGGATCCGATGTATTTTGCATAGACAGCTGTTAATAAACACTTGTATCTTCTGGATGATGGCTAACCAGAAAAAATTATTCAAACATGGAATAATAGAATCTCATAACTTTTACACTTATAAATGCTGAAACCGTATGATTTTCATAAATGGTACTAGGGGATAGTAAAAGAGTACTGTTTTGTCCTAGTATAAAACGATTCAATAATGATTATCTACGATCATATGAGGATTCTTTTTAATGATCTATCATTTCTCTAAACAATAAGAAATATTAGTACACTTTTATGAATAGTTATTTTATTTATTCTCAGAAACTGACTAGAAATTTCACGCTGACCTTAATAATTTCATATTTCATTTTGTCTCACGTCTGTCAAATACTCAGTATCATATTACCAACTAATTGACCTGAACTTGTCACGTATGATTTATGATTAGTAGTTAGCATATGAGTATTATCTGAGGTACATTTATAATGGACAATAGGTTATTTTGAATCTTTACCAACTAAATTCTCCTGGCAAACAGTTAGTTTATATTGAACATACATATTATTCAGTAAAAATGAATAACGACTAGCAATGGAATCCATGATGCGCGTTTCGTCCTATTAGGAGCTCGTCAACTGGATGCACCTGCATCAATGGAAAAATTCAAACAGACAATACGAAAGGAGAATAATCATTGTCTTTTAATATTTTCAAGTAACCGGATTCATCAATATAGTATACAAGCAAATGAATTCACTAATAATTTCCACAGTGAACAACAACCCTGTTTAAAGTTTCAGCTGTACCCTTACTGATGAATTCCAACTAGTATATGATTCATGTCAAGACTTGTTTTATTCATTATCTTCAACTATCCATTAATTAAGCATGATTCCATGCTTTATATGACAAATATTTCATTAAGTTATCCATCATATAATGAAAACTACCTAAATACAATGTACATACATAATTAGATTTGACAAAATTTCTGAGTTTTATTAATAGAGTTTTTGTAGTAAATGTGTTACATCATTTCAATACAAT